AAAGTATAGTGTATAAATTCAAGAAGCAGAGGTGTTCCAGCATCCCATATGGAGAAGACAAATATGAAGATATTTTGCAAGATGGAGAAGAAACTTGTCAGGTAAGTTCCTAATCCTTGAAATAGGATGTCTTTTGGTATCAGGGTTGATTTATAAGACCTTTGGGCATGATCTCCTAAAATTCCCTCAAACACAACTTTCAACTCCTTCGGACATGATTGTCTAGGAGTATTTACTTTTCCCAGTTCGTTGCCTCTATTTAGAGGAGCAATTTACTTTCTAAAGTTTCGTTGCCTCTGTTTAGAGGAGCAATTTACTTTCCAAAGTCGTGGTTTCCAAAGTTGTGGTGCCTCTGTTTAGAGGAGCAATTTACTTTCCAAAGTCGTGGTGTCTCTGTTTAGAGGAGCAATTTATTTTTCAAAGTCGTGGTGCCTCTGTTTAGAGGAGCAATTTACTTCCCAAAGTTTCGTTGCCTCTGTTTAGAGGAGCAATTTACTTTCCAAAGTCGTGGTGCCTCTGTTTAGAGGAGCAATTTATTTTTCAAAGTCGTTGAGCCTCTGCTTAGAGGAGCTTTAGTCAAAAAAATAAAAAATAAAAAAACAAAAAGTGACAACGTTGAGTTGAATCTGGATAGGGTGTCTACGTCTTTGCGCAATTTCTGTTTCACAGAAAATGTGCAAAGAGGGGCAGCTGTAGACACCCAATTAGGTCCAAGCCCAGATCAATTGGGCTTGGCCCAAATGGGTAAGGGCCAATTCAATTGTAACCCTGTATTTTTTTTCTTCTTTTTTTGTATTTTATGTATTTTATTATTTATTATTATTATATATTAATATATGTATATCTTTATTTATTTATTTATTTATTTTCTATTAATATTTATATGTATTGTATTTATATAGTTATATATATTATTATATTATTATTATTTTATTATTTTTTCTTCTATTTTTCTTGTAATATTTTTTTTTGGTTTATCTTATTGTATTCCTAATTATCTGTTAATAATTTTTTTTTCTTTCTCTTTTCTTGATCCGTATCTGATTCTTTTTTAATTATCTATTATTTTTTTTATTTGATTTTTATTTTTGGAGGGTTGAGATTGAAGTTGAAGAATCCCACTGGAAATGGGAATTCAATCAGAAGAGTCCAGTTGGATTCAAAGATTGAATTCCCGTCCAAGGAGGAATTGGGATTGATCAGGAACTCCTGATCAATCCCTATATAAAGGACCCCTGGAACAGATGCAAAGACACAGAGAAAACAATAAGCAAAGCTACTGATTTGAGAGAAAAAGAGGCGTATAGGAAGCTAGGAAAAGTTTATGAGTGTTCTGGGAGTGAGAAAAAATTTTTAGAAATTTTTGGCAAAAAATTTTTTTGGAAATTTCTGGGAAATTTCCAGATTCCGGTTAATTCCGACGAAATTTGAATTTTTCGGCAACAATTCCGGCGAACATTGAAGTTTCCGGCAACCTGCCCAGTTTCTGGTGAAGAATCCCAGAAACCGATGATATTCCGGTGAAATTTCCAGATTCCGACGATATTTTCCAGAATCCGACATCGGTGTTCTTCAGCTTTTAGAGATAAAGAAGAGGAAAAGGGAAGAAGATAGAGAGAGGGGAGGAACGTTCTGCCGAAAAACGAAGGGGATTGCTTTTATACCCTCTCAAAACGACGTCGTTTTGGCCTTATGTAACCAGAGGATCCGTGCGTTTTGCCGAACCCAACCCGACCCGAGCTTCGACCCGCTTTCCTGACCCGCACGTGCTGCCCCTCCTCCAAGTCGAGCCGAGCCGAACCTCGATCCGAGCCGCTCCAGGTTTTTTTTTTTTTCATTTATTTGTTTATTTATTTGTTTATTTTATTTATTTATTAGAATAGGTTTATTTAATATTCTTTTTATCTTTATTTTATTTTTATTTTGTTTTTTTATTTTTATTTATTTTCACTTTCATTTTTTTTATTTTTTTATTCTATTTTCTTTAAATAAAAATGAAATTTTCCAAAAAAAAATATATTTTTAGGGAAAAGTTGAAAGTATCAATTTTCCTTGAAAATCAAAATTTTCGAAAAATATTTTTAGGGAAAAGTTGAAAGTATCAATTTTTCTTAAAAAAATAAATTTCAAAAAAAAAAGATTTTTAGGGAAAAGTTGAAAGTATCAATTTTCCTTGGAAATCAAAGTTTCAAAAAAAAATATTTTTGAGGAAAAGTTGAAAGTATTAATTTTCCTTAAAAAATAAAATTTCAAAAAAGAGGATTTTTGGGGAAAAGTTGAAAGTATCAATTTTCCCTACACAAGAACAATCATCATTTCCTTCCTTTCTATTTTGATTTTGATTTTTCCTTAATTAATCCGACGACGGAGCCTCTGCAAGTGAAACAGTAATTTTTCTTGCATACTCTTGAGGTGAGGAAATTTTCTCAATTTTCTACTAAAAGTATTAGAGTCAATTGAGAAAAATTTTCAATAATTAATTACTTGGTAAAATTTTAAGGCTTTTGGATAACACAAATTTAAGCTGGTACCATCTTTTGATGGGCGTTGTGAGGGTGCTATAACCTTCCTCACACGTAACCGAACTCCCGAACCCTGTTCTGGTTTGTAGACCTGAACCTATTCTTCTAGGGACCCTTAAACTTAAGTGTTCCCTAAAAGGACAGATTTTTTAGGTGGCCAATCGCACCTAGATAAAAAAGATTGGTGGCAACTCCCTAAAGTCAATGTCTAGCGATAGATCCCCGGATCTAGACGTTATGACAAAAGTAATTGTCATATTATTTTCTTTCCAAAGAAAAAATAAAAAAAATTTCTAAATAGGCCCAAATTGTTGAAAATTTTAGAAATTCAAAAAGAAAAAAATATTTTTAATTTGGCCCAAATGGTGGAATAATTAGATATATTTTCAACTAATAATAATTAAACATTTTTTCAATGACAGAGCCTCTTCAAGGAAATAAATGAAATTTTTTAATACTCTTGAGGTGAGAAAATATTTTTTAAAGAGTTATACTAGATTGATGAAGAATCTTAAAAATTATTTTCAATATTTAACTTAAAATTTGAAACCATTAGACTCAATACTTTAGGATAAATTTGAAATAATATGGTACCATCCTTCGAATGGGGATGTAGGGGTGCTATAACCTTCCTTATATGTAACCGACTCCCAAACTTGTTCTGGTTAGTAGACCCGAACCTATTCTTGTAGGGATCCTTAAGCTTAGGTATTCCTTAAAATGATAGATTTCTTAGGTGGTCAATCACATCTAATAAAAAATATTGGTGGCGACTCCAATCATTTGATAAATCTAACAATAGATTTTTGAATCTATATGTTATGATAGAGAGTACTTCAAATCATATTTTCTTTTTGAAGAAGAGTTTAAGAATATGAATATATGCTTTCTGAAGTTTAGTGAATTTGATGAGAGGGACCAGTTGATATATCTTTCAAGTCAGATATTCCATTACGAGGGATACTAATGAACAGTGGCAATCTCTTTCCCCCTTAATCTCAAGTAGGAGATATTTTTTATTTCTTTCTCTTTTAATGCCAAACAATTGGAAATAAAGGGACATAAATGAGCTTATATAGAAATTTTGTTACCTTGGCAGAAACTATATGGAAATGAACATTAGCCATAGAAGACTATAGCAAGGTTTAGCCTTATGCAAATAAATATGACAGACCTTAATTTCTCAGATTGATGCCTTAATGTCTACTGATAAACTTGCCAAATTAGTTGTTGTAGGGGAAAAAAACTGATGTCCTAAGGCTTCCACAAGTATGTATTAAACTAATTTACAAGCAATGAGATCCAAAATCAGCAAATCTCAAGATCAAGGAGCATTTGGATTTCCAACTGATGCACAAAGCCTCCATCCATTTTACATTTTCATCCTTTGATTATTATACAACTAGAGCGTCCCAACATAAGAGGCTAAGCAAATACAAAGATGAAAGAAGAGGGAAAGAAGGGACTCAGACTATGATGAAACTAATATGCATGGGTCAAAGCATAAAAAGTTGCAGGCTCTAATAATTTTGTAGATGGAGGAAACATTGCATAGGCCTTTTGATCAGAGGCAGCAACCTCCTTCTTATATCTCCATCAGTTCAAACGTTTTATACCTTTGCTCCAAAAAATGACTAAAAACAAAAATATAAGACGTTTAGATCATGTTTGGTAAACAAAATTATGATAGGATAGGATAAGCTAATATTATGAATATGATTAGATTAAATAATGTCATTCTATTTTATGTTTGATGTGTGTAACAATTAAAATAGGATAATTTATTTATTGGTCAAAATTATTCTTCCTCAAGATTTATACAATTTGAATTATTAATGTAATTTTTAAGAGTATAATAAGATATATAAGTTTAATCCCATGAATTAAAAATAATCCTCTTCACTTTGGGAAGATTGAATCATTCTATACCAAGAAGATGATAATCCTCATTGTAATCATATCCCTTTTAATTAGATACAAATCAAATATTATATAGAATGATTATCATACTATTCTGTATATCATCCTATACACCAAACATGACCTTAAAGAAATTGCTGCAAGTTTCCACAAAAGCACGGAGTAAGGAAGCTATTGATGCCCAGAGGAAACTTTTTGGCTAACTTTATAGAGGAATAACAAAACAAGGCATTTTGTGCAAATGAGATAACCCTATAGTTGATTCCCAGGTTTAAAAGTGATGTTTTAAAATGTCTGAAAGAACAATTCATTGTCCTTCAAAATTGCATTTTAGGCCTTTTTGTTAGACAATGCATTATGCTCTATGCATAACAAAATATCAGATTCCCCGTTACTTATTGTTTTGGGGTTAGATCTAATGCGCAATCACTCCTCGATCCCTAGAATTCGACAACATGCTTTCACAAGTTGTCCAAGACATCAGTAAAGAAAGAGGAACAAGGGCATGAAGAATAAATTCATGTATTTGAAGCAACATGTGCAGGGATTTGAATATACCTTGATTCTAGAAGGAGCATAAGACTTATTAGTTGAAGTTAAGGTTCCAAAGCTAAACTTTGGTTTCTTATCTGCAGGCTTTAATATGCGGAAAGAACACGTTAACGTCTCATCCACGCTCATCATGGCGGCAGCATTGTCAAACTCTCCACAGTAATTAGGTGCTGAAAATATGGTTACAAGTTGCCTATTAGCAAAGAATTCATATCCATCTTCAACAACCTGCAAGCATAGATACCATTTAATGAGATAAAGGAACCCGAGAGCTATAAGAATTTAGCAAATGCTTCATGTAAAGCGTGTTTAGACCTGGTGTGCACGACATATTAAATCAAGATCAAACTTCTTGAGACAATCTATCACTCTATCAGCGCCGAACATGTAGGAAACTCCCCTATCATTCGGCCCCCAGCCCTGAATGTCATTACTAGGATCAGACCATAGGAGATCACATAGTAAACCAGATTCTGGAACATCTGTAGGCCTCTTTAAATTTCTAATCTGATCCAAATTGTGGAGTTCAGGTGACAGGCCACCATGCATACAGAAAATCTTTTCCTCAATCAGAGCTGCAACCGGCAGGCAGTTGAAACAATCAGTGAATACTTTCCAGACCCTGACATTGAATCTGCGTTTACATTCATCATAAAACCCATAGATACGGTTCACAGAAGCACATTCATGGTTGCCCCTCAGAAGGAAAAAGTTTTCAGGATATTTTATTTTGTATGCAAGGAGAAGGCATATGGTTTCCAGGCCTTGCTTTCCACGATCTACATAATCACCCAAGAATAAGTAATTGACACGAGGAGGGAAACCACCATTCTCAAGAAGCGTCAGGAGATCAGAATACTGACCGTGAATGTCTCCTGGATCATGAAAAGAAGCAGCACATAAGACATAAATTCGGAATGGTTTATGTTATATCTCTCAACAGAGGTTTGAAATGAATCACAAACAGTAAATAAGTAATAAATTGCCCTATGAAAACTCCAGAACAAAAGAAACTATCCCTTGTGAGTAGTTGTCACTAAATGCTAGTTGCTGTTTGCTAAACACATACCAGATCTCCAATTGTATGATTCATAACATTACATTACCAAGGAAAATCCATTGCAAATCCTACCAATGGTCTTGTATCTCCAAACAAGATTACATAATATATATGTAGGAATGACATGGACACAAAGAACTGTAGTTTTCAGAAACAGAATACGTCTGTCTGCCAAGTGTATGTCTATGGCAATAAGATATTTCCAAAAGTGGTAATCAAATTCACATAGGCAATAAAAAATGTGAATTGCACCTTATTTATGGGAAAGGAATGTGCCTCTTCAGCATTTCAGTGACAGAATCCCCTAGTTTGAAACTCAGAATGGAACTAACAAGCTTGAGAACTACTAAGCACAATATATGACCACATCAACTTTCAAAAAAGCAACTCAATTTTAGCCATAATATGATCTTTCAAGCCAAAACCAAAACCAGTCAACATTGTGCATTCAAATTGCACAATTGCCAAAGCCAGAATTTGACAAACCAACACGGTTCATACCAAAATGTGTCAATTGGATAAGAATCCATGAACTAAAAAACCAAAACCATGTTCAAAGATGACAGTAGTAACTAACAACCTGCAATAATCACCAAACTAGGAAGAAAACAACTAATACTAAACTGCCCATACAGTCAAAGAACTTCAAGCCTATCTCCCAAAAAATGGATGGCAACCATTTCAAGTACTTTAAATTCATCCATACCATCACAGAAATTAAGAATAAATGAACATATTTATCAATCAGCGTCCCCAAAACAACATGGCACACCAAAAACAAGAACTTTCCAAAATTCAGACTCGTAAACTCGTAGCAACCAACTTCAAAAGAATCAAACTTAAACCATAATTATGAACAGAGAGACAAACATAAATAGAAGAAAACAGAGTAAAAGAAGATACCACAGATCTTAATAGGCGCTTCAAGCTCTAAAAGAACGGGCTGCATCAAGAAGATATCTTTAGAAACAAGACAAAGCTGCCTTATTTCAGACTCAGAAAGCTGGACTTCCTTGCCTGGTTTCCCTCTAACTTCAAGCAACCTATTGATTATACCATCAAGAACTCGAGGTTCCATAATCCAACGATACCCTCCTTCTCTTATCCTCCAAAAAACAAAACTGATCAACTCCTTGGAGCAAACAAGAAAAGGAAGTGGAAACAAGAAAAGAAGAAGAAGAATAACAGAAAGTAAAGATGATAAAAAGGCAAAGAGAAAGAATAAAGAAACCAAGAAGTCCTCCACCACCTACATGCTATGATCTCCTAGTGAAAGTGAAAGAGAATATTTTTTTTGGTTGAAGCATGGAATGGTCGCCTCTTGGTGCGCGGGGGCTTTATTTCAGAATATTACATTAACACTTTAAATTATTGTTTTCGTTTTAGCTTTTCTTGTTCATGCTGAAAAGAATGGTTTGGTTGGTTTAATGTTGTCCCTTGGAACAAAATGGCAGCCACAAGAATATATAGCCTTGGCTTTCTTTTTCCAGTTTTTATATAAAGAAAAAGAAAAGAAATATTGAAGAGAATGATAAGAAGAATATAAGAAGAGAAGAGAAAGAGAGGGTGACTCAAATGAACAAAAAAAAAAAAAAAAGAACTGAAAAAGCAAAGGAGTGTGTTAGGTGAAAAAATGGACCCCAAGAGAAACAGTGGCACCATTGAAAGAAAGAGAGGATGGGAAATGAAAATGAAATGAAAGAAGGTGAAGCATCAAAATATAGATATAGATGAGAGTCTTTTCAATTTGTTTGATGTTTTTTGTAATGTTTAAAACTGAGGAATTTGAGGTTAGAGGGAAGGCTTGGTTTTGAAACCACGAGGTAGGCAGACAGCAACAACAGGTAAGTTTGGCAACTGGCAAAGCAAACCAAAATTTCATGGTTGTCACAAGCACGCTCACTGAAGAAGAATTTCATTGTTTGCTGTTTGTTTGTTTTAATTATTCCCATATATGTAAGGCATGAATCGAAGCTGCCCACATGAAATGTCAGAAATTCCTTATTAGTTATTCTTATCAAGAAGGCATATGGATTATTAGTAACTTTTTATTTTGTTTTCTTTTTTAAGTAAAGGTTTTTTTTTTTTTTTTTACATATCTCAAACTGTTAAGGATTAACATCTATAATTAAAATAAAAAAATTCAATTAATATTCCATCAACAGAGAACACGATCATTGGCTAAGTAAAGTTTTTATTCCTTCTTTGCTCTTTAAATTGCTGCAAATAACCCTGGTGAGTTGCAAATTGCAACAATGGTCAATTCCGGCAATTATTAGCTATGCTGACACATTACTTTTTGATTAAATTAATGTAAACTGAATCAACTTTTCTTTTTCCTTCATCATTGACTCTTATCCCTTAATATATGTTTCAATACTAGGTTACATCATTTAACAGTAAGTCTCCAATGTATGTTTCTCTTTTTTTTTTCTTTTTCTTTTTTTCTTTTTAAGTCAAATCTCTGTTTCTTTTTCTCTTTCCTCTTCCTCGTCGTCTCCATTATTTTCTGACATTTTGTGATTACGTTCCGTGCTTGAGATTTGTTGCAATGCAAAGCTTCGAATATTGAATTGGACTCTACGAGCTACCAAATATTTATTTTTTATATAAAAACTAAAAAATTTAAAGGTAAAAGAAAAATTTTAAAATTTTAATTATTTTTTAAAAATAATTATATATAGTAATTAAATTAAGCTTGAGATTCAAATATTTATTTTTTTGACCAAAATTAAAGTGACAATTATCATATACCTACTTGATTTTTTTATTTAAAATTATTAAAATTTAAATTTTGATAATTGAAATTAAAAATAAAATATTTTATTAATAGATTACATAGTTATTGATGCTTGATATGTATAAGTTGAATAAAATAATAAACTCCATATCGAAAACATTACGTTTCAAGCTTAATTTTGGCTAATATACAAATATCTACTTATGAATAGAGAAGTTTAAAACTTAAAATTAAAAAAAAAAAAAAAAAAGCTAGATTATGAGTCATTGGTATGATAGTAAATAATCAAGAGTGTGGGTTTTTCTTCAGCTAAATTATTGGTCTAAAATCTCTAATTAACTACATTTATTGTCATGAGCCTTACTTAATTTCCAAACACTCATTTATCATCCAACATTCTACAAGACTTTCCGTGAGTATGATGTGACGACAATCGCAGATAGAATAGAACCGAAGACAAGAAAATGGAAGGAGGATAATAATTCAAAGGACTTGCACAAGAAAGGTTATAAATAGACCTCTATTTTTGCTCTCCATATCTTTTTTTTTTTTTCAAAAAATTTTTTAAGTGAAATTATTTAATTATCTTTTTTTATTTTTATTTTAAAGCTTTCTTATGTATATATATATATATATTAGTAAGTTATATAATTTAATGGATTTTCATATTTGATAAATTAAAAAAAAAAAGTTACATTTTGGGTTAAGAATATCTTGAAAAATTTTCATAACACCATAAAAAAAAATGAACTGTTTTAAATAATTTAAGCTCATTTACAAATTGATAAAAAAAAAAAAAAGAATGTGGGTTTTAGATTTTTTCTTGATTTAAACAAATTGATAGAAAAAACTTAATAGCACGCAACGATATATCACAGCATAATGGGTGCACACCAACTTAACTCTTAGTGACCCAGGAAGAAAAAATATGTTATTAATAGCAAAAAGATTACAACAATTACAAAAGGAGCATCGACTTTTTTCACCATCATCAAAACCATAGGGGTAGCCCTAGATGGGTAGTATAGCACGTACCTTATCCAATAAAGTAGCCCAACAATCCACCTATTGCTCATCCCCTTTAAAGAGTTTAAAAGCTTTTACATTTATACTACTAAGAACCATTATAATATTCGAAATGGGTTTATTTTCTCCTAGCACATGAGATCTACCTCATTCTTGGCACCTCTACCCAGTAATAGCCTTATACAAGTTGGCTACTAGCATACTCCCCTACTTAATCTATCAACGTCTTCATTGACTTGTTGCACTAAAATTCTTCAATTTTTTGCTAGAATTTTTACTTTACTTTACTAGGTATTCATGGATTGGTTTTCAAGATACTCGAGTTATCTTATCAACTAAAATCTCTTTCACTCGATGTTCTAATGGTGGTTTCATGGTGATGGCAACCTTGGTTGTTTCATTATGACTTGCATTTATGGGATCTATATGGTAGGGCTTTAAGTTGCTTACGTGAAGCATCAAATGTACCTTCATCTATTTTGGTGCGTTGATTTTGAAAGAAGCATTCTCCACTCTAGAAAGGATTATCACTAGACCTCATACTTAGGTACCAACCTACAATACCACTTTCATAAAAACTCGATTTGCTTAGGCACTAGTTTGACAAGCATAAGGTTACAAACTTTGAACTGCTGTGCCTTTCGACCTTTATTTGCCCACTTCTTCATACGTTTCGATGCCTTTTCTAAGTATGCTTGTGTAATTTCTATGTTTTATATTCATTTTTTGGTAAAGTTGAAAGCTCGTAGATTTTTTCCTCGATATGGTTCAAGAAAGCTAGAAGGAAACCTCGGTTGTTGCCTAGTAACCACTTCAAAAAGACTCTTATTTGTGAAATAATACTTGTTAAAATTAAAAAAAAAAATTAAGTTACATCTAACAATAGAGACCAATTCTTCTAATTTGCTTGAACAAAATGTCTTAAGTACTCCTCCAATAACCATTAAATCACTCAACTTGACCATCAGTTTGTGGGTGATAACTTAAAAAGATGTTGAGTTGAGATCACAAAATCTTGAAAAGTTCTCTTTAGAATGAACTATTGAACTTTGGATCCTTGTCATTAACAATGGTTTATGGAATGCCTCAGTACTTGATCACATAATTAAATATTAAGTGAGTTTGTATCTTTCCAAGTATAATATTTTCGTCTTAGAATAAATGTGGCAGATTTCGAGAAACAATCAATCACCACTAGAATAGACCCAAGATCACCAACTTTAGGGAGGCTTGATATGAAATCAAGGGAGATACATTCTTAAAGTTTCATAGGTATAAGTAACATTTCGAGCATACCTATTGGTTTCTTCTTTTCAACTTTGTCTTATTGGCAAACGAAGTAAGTTTTTATATAGTCTATCACATCTTATTGCATATGAAGCAAATAATAACCTTGTCTTAGTAAGGCTAAATGCATTACTAACTAGGGTGACCCATTAATGGTATGTCATGGCATTCCTGCATTAGCATTTGTTTGTAACTTCCTACTTTCAACAAAAATAACTAGGGACCTTTTGTTAACAATGCCTCATTTTTCTACTAAAAGTACTTGGACTTTCTATCTTCTACTAACTTTAAGATGGCATTAGCTATAAGTTTTTCTTCAAATTATCCTTAATTAGCTTACGGATATTTGTTGTAACCTTACTAGCTGACATTGAGGCGATTTTCTTTAAAGCTGCCAACTCTGTTAGTCTATTTAATGCATCTTCCACTTGGCTAGTTTTTTCAGCTTTGTATTCAAAAGCAAAAATCAAACTCCGTTAGAAACTCATACCATCTAGCCTATTTAGCTGTGAGCCTCAGTTGGGTAAGAGAATGACAAATCGTAATATTGTCAGTCTTAAAAACAAATTAAAAACTCAACAAGTAGTGTCGTAATGCCCTTAAACAATGGATTATCACCAACAGCTCTTTTTCTTGAGCTGTATATCTTTTTTTGGCCTCGCTTAACTTTTGACTTTTAAACATAATTAAATGTTGCATTTGTAAAAGCACTCATTCAATAGCAAAATCTGATGTATTTGTTTGAATTTTAAAAGGTTTTTCAATGTCAGGGAGAACCAAGACAAGGTCTTTCATCATAGCTTTTTCTACACCTTTAAAAGCTTTATGGCATTCACCTTCATTTATGCACTTTTTTTTAGTAACTCGATGGAAGTTGTTATTCTGCGAGAGTACCCCACCAAAATTTTTTATAATAGTTAGTCATCTTTAAAAACGAGTGAAGTTGATTGACATTCCTTGACGTTACCCATTCCTTGATGGCCTTGACCTTTTTCATGTCCATTTGAATATGGCCATACTCAACAATATGATTTAAGAAGTGAATTTGCATTTACGCAAATGTAGATTTCTCCCTTTTCACATACAACTGATTATCTTGAAACCTTTAAAACATAATATGTAAGAGCCTTTAGTGTTTTTTCAAGGTAGAACTATAGACCACTATGTCATCTAAGTAGATAACCATAAACTTGTTAACATAGTCATGGAACACCTAGTTCATCAAAGTGCAAAATGTGGTAGAGGCATTACTCAATCCAAAAGGCATGACTAGAAATTTAAAATATCATACACAAGTGGTCTTGGTTCATCTCCTTCCATAGTTCTAACCTTATAGTAGCCAAACCTTAAATCAAGTTTATGAAAGAACTTTACCTGGCTCAGTTGATATATTAGATCTGTGATAAGAGGAACTAGATACTTGTTATTTATTGTGACTTTGTTTAAGGCCCTATAATATACACTAAGTGCAAACTACCATCATATTTTTTCTAGAATCATACTAGTGCCCTAAATGGTGCTTTTGATGACCTAATGAATTTAGCTTACAAGAGTGCATCTAATTGTTTTCTTAATTCAGCCAACTCTAGTGGAGCCATGCAGTATGGGCCTTTAGTAGGAGCTTTAACTTTTGAAAGAAGCTTAATCTCGTGGTCTATTGATTTTTAAGGTGGTAAGACCTTGCGTAATTATTCTAACATCATATTTTTAAACTTTTTCAATACCTTTTCTACTCTGTTGGGCACTGGTTCCAACTTAATGACATCTTTATAAATTGGCATGGCCAC